AACATTGTCTCACTGATGAGCGAATTGGCCACTTTGCTTTCCCAAATCAGTGAGAGAACATGTACATTGTTAGGTAACTGTAGGAAAACAGTATTTTTTTACCAGGCAGAAGTACAAACAAATATTAAAAATGTAAGAAAACATCTTCATAAAAACAATAAAATAATCTTAATTTAATAATCTAAATGAGAAAAAAATTTAAATACTGATGTTCAAAATAAATGTTAAACTAATCAACATAATGGATCTAAACTGATTTGTCTCCACTTCTTCAGCCTCCTCTCCCCCAACCTCCATGCCTCCATCGCCATCCACCCTGTCATCAGGCCTGGATATAACAGAACAAAAATTAATATTAAAAACAGTATTCTGAACAGAACAATTATGCATACTTCTATCATTATTTAATATACTCAGTGGCGTACTGAGGGGGGGGGGGGAGGTTTGCACCAGGCCCCACACCAACATAGGCCTCCAAATCAGGGCCGTATTCCCCTAACGGTGGACACTGCGATTGCCAAGGGCTTCGGCCTAGGAAGGGGACTCACTTGGGGCCTCAAAAGAATGCTTTTTCTCTTGGAAAATTTTCCCACAATCTGTTAGAATTAGGGGGTACAATAATCCAAGTTTGTCTTGTATTCTCATGATAGCCGAAAGCATCTGCAAAGATTGCGTGATCGAAATTTACGACTACCAGCGGGTAGTCGTAAAATAAAGCCTACATCTCCTAGAAAACAAAAGCAAATTTTTGGGCACATCTCCAGTTAAAATGCTGGTTAAATACTAGTAATTAAGAGGGTTATGCGACATAGGCTTGGGGGCAATGGACACGGCCCTGGATTTATAAGTATTAAATTTAAGTAAATGGCAAAACTTACCATTAGTTAGTTCTCTTCAATCTTAGTCTTTACTTCGCCCCATCCTCCATCTCCTCTTCCTCTGACACCTCTCCCCTGTATTCTCCAATGTCGGAGGATATTAATTACAACGCCCCCATTTTACTGGCTTCAGTTCTGTACAGAAATATTGCAAAAAATAGTGTTATACAAATACTTTGAGTCCAACAAATAATACAAGTCTGTACACTCCTTTCTATATTTGTGATATTCAAATAGGTACAGATAATAGGAAAATGTTTGAGCAAATCTGGGTCAAGTTAGTACAAATATTATAATTTGTAACAATAATTTGGTTTAGACAAAATAAATTGGTTTAACACGTTCGCTACCACAATTATATAAAATTTACGTTTGCATAGACTAGCGACGCAATTGTGCGTCGACTCGTTTCTCACAATAGACCACCGACGCATATTTGCGTCAGCTGATCATATTGAAATAGACTAACGACACACACTTGCGTCGGTGTTCAATGTTATTAATCAGCGTATTTCTTAGCAACGGTCTATTTTAAAGCCCTGATTTTATCGTATCAGTCTAGAGGGATATCTGCCGCAAATGTGCGTCGCTTGGTGTGTGGATATGACGATTGGTTATGTCACACAACAGTTGGCAACATTGTTGTTTACATTGTGCATTCCGCGACATCTCAGAACAGATGTAAACGTTATAACCTTTGCAGTTTTGGCGAGTGTTTGGAGTTTCTTTATTTGTTTGAGTAAAAGCTTGAAACAACCAAATTTACAACGACGCTTAAACGGCGTCGCCTGGTCTATTGAAACGAAAATGTAGGTAATCTTTTTATCTGGAATTTATTAAATAGACTGACCGACGCATATATGCGGCGTTTTAAAATTTGCTCAAAACGATAAATAAAAACAATATTTATTGCTTACTAATTCACTTGAGGTCAATATGAAGTTAATTAGTCCATTTAAACGATATTTCTCTTTTGGTCTGTTGGCAATGTTATTCCCATATCACTTGGTCTGTAAGCAACGTCATGATCATTCCTTTTGGTCTGTAGGAGTGACCGGACCGACGCATAGGCCTATGAGCGTCGCTCGGTAGCGAACGTGTTCAACATTAATTCTTTGTTATTTCCCAATTTGCAAAAATGCAAGCTCTAGCCTAATTAAGACATTTCCAAAGAACATGTTTCGAGATGTAATCCAAATGCATTTTAAGTAGGGGCCTAGTTTTGAATGTTTATAAAAAAACTATAAATTTGCATAAAGATTAATTATCCTTATGTTCCACCAAAAACTATTAATAATAGTTTATTTGTGTAGGTAACTAGTGGGCGAAGTGGCACTTTGCTACACATGAGAGAAATGTTTACGCACGAGCCGTAGGCGAGTGTGGAAAGTTTGTCGAGTGCAGCAATGGCAGTTTGCACTTGTGTTACACATTATATTTTCCCTACAGTTACCATAAAACATATAAATAATTAGTTGTTCAAACTCTGTTCAACACAAAATGCAAATGATTCAGTTTGGATCAGTGTCTATGGTTGTCGATAATATGGAACCCACCCAAATATGGACAGTAGGCCCTCCGGATAACACTTACCAAAGTACCGATTTGAGCTTTGAATAACTTAGTTAACAAACATAGCCTAGAATCTATCACAAAGGGGAAAGAATGTTGACTCACCTCACTTAAGGTTATGGTTAGACCAAGGAACATTATCACGGCAGTATGGTAATTGCCTCCAGGGTCCACAACTCTGGTCTCTCTTTCTCTCTTTTCTGTGATGTCGATGGCAATGTCGTCCAGAAAGGTTAGTCCTCTTAACTTATTGGTTCAAGACAATATTTAAAATAGAGACCAATTTGGGTTCAGGTCAAATTGCAGCCTTTGCTCCAGGATCATCTATAAAATTAACATTGATGTCATCAGCAATGAATGATATAATCCAAGTCTAGTCTTACACCAAATACAAACAGCTCTAGAATATTTTACAGCACTTAAGTTTATGTCCTACACTCATTCCAATGAATATATTTCTTTAATAGGCCTACTTTCTTTCTTATTACTTGGCGACCATACAAAGTAGGTATTTTAAGCCAAGTACGAATGGAAATGAGTTTAAGATCAGGATGAGTGGCGCAATCTTGTAGTCTTGTTAGTGACTAAGGCCGACATTCCTTAGACACAGCTGTTAATTAATAGCCCATACAGCTAATGGCAACTAAGGGACCTACAGTTTATAGTGGAATCCGAACCACATTATTGCCTTGGTCTATAGCCTATATGAATTGGTCTTATTATCAGGATAGTACTGCGGATAGTCGTAGTACTCACTCATGCGGATGTTAATCCACACCAGGGAGTATCGCATCCACAGTGCATGCCTATAAATATCCACAATTCGTGACCTCCTAGTAGATGGATTACAGGACGACGCCACCCGTCCCAGTCATATTGATTATATCATTCAATAAACTTAGGCCTATATCAATTTTGGGTAATCTTAGGGTGAAACCTAAACTAACTAACGGAATGAAATATTCAAAATATTAACCCTTGGAGTGCCAGGCGAGAAATGAAAGTAACGCTCAAAAAATGCCGATGATTTTTCCCGAAGGTCGCGCTAAAAATGCCGAGCGCGATCTGGCGATTTTTAGGTTAAAATTTCGTAAAAATTGAATTTTCGATATTTCGACCAACGAAAATCGATGTATCGCATCTAGTAACTTTCGACTCAATGTTAATATATGGGTTAAAAGAATCCGAGTATCCATTCGGTTGTTATGACAACTGTTCGATCATTACGAAACGTCCGGTCAGCCGGACGTTGGCACTTTTTGGCTCGTTCTAAAAACGTCCGGTCGGCCGGACGTCGGCACTTTTGGCTCGTTTTAAAAACGTCCGGTTCCCCGGACGTTGGCACTCAAAGGGTTAAATAGTCTAACTTATGTATTCATATCGGGTATACAGTTTCTTAAATGGTCTATGCTAATATTGATTGAAACTATCAAATTGAAAATATTGATTAGTAATCAATATTTTTAAATACATCTATTGCAAAATAAAACTATCATAACCTAACCTAACCAACCAAACTTGCTGATGGTGAAAAAATCGCATGAAGGTTTACTAATCGAAACGATAGTTGCAATCGATATTAGCATAGCCCAGTTAAGAAACTGTACCCTTAATATCTTTCATTTGAATGAATAAAGGACATAAACTAAAGTGCAGCCGCATATTTTTACATAAACAAATTCTTAAAGTTGACACTGGGTCAATGGGAATAAGAGACAATCCTAATAGCCTTGGGATATGCCTATTCAAACATTTGCTACAATATTGCTTGATGATTCAGAATTAGCCTACGAATAAGCTGTATCTTAAGTTCTTGTTGGTGTCTTACTTTACCTTCTTGTTGGTGACTTACCTAAAGTGTCTATTTATCATGTTGATTAGCCTACATAACCTACCTATACAAATTATTTCACATTGTTTCCCTTAAAAACTATTGTTTGTAACACACGAGTCACCAATTTTCCTGTAAGCAAGGAAAGAAATAAAAAAGATAAATATTTACAATATAAAAGTAATAACTTAATGCTTTGTCAAAATGGCCAGCTTATCACTATTCATTGACCGTCGGAATTCGGAATTAAATATTGCGACGTTGAGACTGAGAGTTGACGTTGCGACTCGTGAGTTGAGGAACTGAACGATGAATTAGAACAACTCCTTTTCAAGAGTAGCTCCGAAGAACGGGAGCTTGTCGATATACTGGGACTATTTCAGTGTCGACATAGTGAAACTATTTCATTGTCGACAATATGGGATGTCGACAATTTGTGGTGTCGATCATTTGCGACGTCGGTTATTTGGGATGTCGGTTAAGTGGGAATATTCCAGTGTCGACAAACTGGGAATAATTCAGTTTCGATCAATTTCTACGGTTGTCGATATTATGGAACCCACCCCATTCATCATGCCTTGCCGCCTTTTTTACATGCCTAGCGCCATTGAGTATAAACGGTTAGGTTTATACTCAATGCTAGCGCCAAGCTAAAGCTAGGAGGTTCGGTTCTGTTTCTGTTACTGTTGTTCTGTTCCCTGTTGTGTTCGTTGTTTGTGTGACACTACTTTTGGTTAAACGACTTTCTGTGTGTTCAAGTATGTTTCATTTTGTCACCTCTTGTTGAGGTTTTATTATTACTGGAAGAAAACACTTGTTTATAAATAAACTTTAAAACAATACGTGTTCAGGAACATATCAAGGAAATTAATTGAACCCTACTTTAGCTTGTGCTGGTCCATACCATAGGCCCCTCCCTCAGTATCAGCCTACTGTATTTATCAAAAGGCCTATAGCATAGTTATGGTAAGTTTAATGTGAACATTTTTACTTTCTATTGTTTGTACTTAAAATTGGGCCAGACGGAGGTCCAAAAAGGTCCACTTTGTTTACCATAGGGGGACGAAAAATAATCTCAAATCTATTTTACAAGATCCTGAAACAATGTCAGAGGACGAGGAAGTTTTACTCTTTAACAATGATTTATCAAGACATATTATTTCAGAAGGATATAATGAATTTGAAACGTACAATCAGCCTCAAGTATGCTCTCAATTCCAATTTGCGAAATCTTCAATAGAAGTACCGGTAGGCCTAGGCCTAAACAAACTTTGCTGTGAAACTAAACATCACAACTTAATATCATCTCATGATAAGTTTAAACTGTCTAATCTGCTCAGTAGTAAATTATTGCTTCCTGAAGATTTTGAACTCGTAGAATTTTTCATATCTAGAACTTCTACCTCTAACCATCGATCAGAACACAAATGGATGTATAGTAGCGGTATTATTGTAACTACTTTATCCATGGCATTGTATTTTAAGAAACAGATAAGGTTTCAGGTACCTGCAGCTCTAATGTCAACCCTTTCAGTAATTGGTTTGTACCACTGTTATGATTATCTTTGCAGATCGTTTGAAAATAGATCATTTGTTTCTGCTATTAGATCTTTTCAAAGCCTATGTTTGAATGTCAATAAACTATTTCGAATGCTGAAAGAAACTGAAATACTCTCGACAGGTCAGGTTACTTCTCAAAATGTTGGTGCCACTTTGTTTATCCCAATCAAAAGTCTTCATGATAAGCCACAAATGTTACCAACATGGAAAACATTACCTCACCTTCGAAAGTCTTTAGCTAGTGCCTTGATTGATGCAATTGATCTGATTAGATCAACATGCGATGAGGCGAGAAAATGTGTTCCAGATTGGTTGTTCATTGATGGCTATACATTGTCTAATGATAGTTTTCTGCCAGACCATCTCACTGCTGAAAACTTGAACAAAACTGATTACACTATATCATTAAAAGATCTTCAGTTACTAAATGACTCATATTTGACACTTCAGTCAGAGTTTTTCCGATGGGTTGGTATTTGCATCTGTCCCAGTGCTTGGAATCCATTTGGTTCTAGTTACAATTTCAGTCGTAGTAAAATTCTGAGGTTGTTCTTCAATGCTCACTCGAAATTGAGAGGATTATCTTTCAAATTGAAGTTCTATTTTAGCATTGAAAATATATTTAGTGATGGGGAGCTGTATAATAAAAATTTTAAGAGAACAGACAGCTCAGAAATAAGCTCTATTCAATCTGAATTGCATAATTTGTACTTACTAATCTTATCCATGTTGATCCATCTGAGGAATTTAGAAGACAACTTAGAAAATTATTCTATCGACAGTAAGGCCGAATCTAGTAAGATTAATCTGTGTAATATGAAAGATAAACTTGATGAAGAAATAAAAAACGTCAGATGTGAACTTACATATGCTATGAATGTGTTCAATGCAACCTGTCTTCATTCTTTCTCCAACAAACATTCGAGCTCTTCTCATTTAGACAAACTAGATGATGTAGGCCTAATTGATGAATGTAAAACTACAAAGCACTCCCAAGTGTTTCCAGAAGAAAATTTCAGCCATCTAGACTTAAACACAAATTCTTTGGATGAAGTATTTTTAGCTGTTAGTGATATAATTCCTGATAGACAAGGCAATCAAGATGATCTGCATATAGAAGAAAACCCTGTTATTCCAAATAGTTTGTTGGCAGAACTTTCAACTACTCTAAAACCGATAAAAGATACTTTTAAGGAGAGGGAAAAAGCAGCTTTAGAAAGAGCTGGTTTAGAAGACTTAAATAGTGGATCAGACAGCGACACTGATGGTATAAAACATTTAGATACTTCGATTGTAAGCAGTTTAAGGCCTACCATAAGAAAAAGAAAGCTCAGTAAACAAAGAAAACATCGATACAATAATAAAAGTCATGATGGAAATACAGACAGTGATTTTAAAATTTCTACAAATGAACTAGTAAACCCTCATTCCAATCCAGAATCAAAATCAACCCAAAGTTCATCCACTTGTCAAGAAACTTCAAGCACGAGTTTTTCTGCTCTTGGTGATAGATCTATTGCTAACATGATAGCAATGAAATCTCAAACTTGGGGACTGCCTGAAGAGGAATGTTTTTCAGATGAATGAATGTCTCAAAATAGACGTGACTAACGACTTTTGCTGAGCTACAGGTAATTTGAATCATTTACATCTTCAGTGCTGGTTAACGGGGAATGCATTATACTAACTTTAAAATTCTTTCTTTTTTTCACGCCAATGGTATTTTTTTCTAGGCTAGCTTTAATATTGAAATACTTTTAGGCCTAGCTAGTATTACTTCTAATCCCTGTTATAACTTACCACAAACACATTCCTTTATATCATTTTAATAAATTGCTTTTCTTATACTGGTAAAGGTAGTAGGCCTACCTATCTTAGTTTAGTTAGGCCTAGTTATAACCCTGTATACAGCGTGTGTCCTCTAAGTAAATACAACAAATCTAGGAATAGGTTTAATAGGTCCATACAACACAAAAATCAAGAATTCTTTTCTGAAAATGCCTTGTTAACGAGATACCCACCACTTTTTTTTCAAACAAGAACTGTTTTAATACATGCGTGTCCTTTCGTTTATCTTTGTCTTCGAGGCTTGCCTTGGTCGCAAAACTTGAGCTCAGGTTGAAAAGAATCACTTTATGCCCTAGTGATAAATTAGGTAGCATATAGTATAAGATATCATTATTAAATTTGGTAAGTCCTAAATTAAAGTTTATCAAGTAACTAGCTCGCAAACCAAAAGAAGCTGCTTCGCAAGGGAAAGAAAAATCAGTTTAGAATAACAGGTGTTCCCTTGACATCATAACATATAGCCTATCTTCTTGATAGTTAAAACTATCTCATAAATGTTAGCCTTTCAATGATTGCATTTAATCAGGCCCGGTCTGGCCAGGGCGGCTGGTCGGCGATCCCCGAGGGCCTCCGGCTCAAGGGGGCCTCCAAAAGCCAAAAAATCAATTCAAAAAAATTTAGTTATAATAAAAAAATATTTTGTTTAACTGTTTCACAGCAACGTAGTCTTGCAAAAACAATTTTTAATAAACAATACTCTTTTTTTAATTGAATTACAGTTAGGGGTAGCCCCTAAGTACAGTGATAGTCACTCGGTACTAGAGGATAGTCACCGATCTCACTGCAACGCACCGTTCAAATCAGCTCAGTGCCCAGCGCTCCGTGGTAGTGACGAGACATTGCCGTGCCGGCGCGTCTGCGATATGTCTGGTGTCTGGTGTCTGGACTCAAGCAGACAGCTTAGCGCTTGTACTATTATAGTGATGGGACAACCGACTGGAAAAAACTATCGACTAGTCAATTTGTCAATCGGTTGTTTTTAAAACCAGTGGTTTTTTCCAGTCGAATTAAAAACCGAGAGAATTCCACTACTACAACAACTGGTGGCGTTCAATCGGTGCAGTGATTTCAGTCATTGCAAAGAAAATTATCGAATATAATTTTACTTTAAACATTAGAGTTTTCCCGCTTGATTCCTATTGTTTGTTGTCATTTGCATTAATATTTTGTTACTTTGGTATAAAATGTAATAGAATGACAACATTTACAATTAATTAAAAAAACTTAGTTAGCCTATTACATGACTGCAAGATTTAAATTATTCAGTAGGCCTAAATGTCTCTAACTCAGTATAACAAATATTCCTATTTATTTGTTACCTGGTTTTTAAAACAGATTTTACTACAGGCATTAAAATCTAAATCATCAGTATATAAAACACAGTGTCTTGGCAATGTTATATTTTTGTAAACAACAAAGATAAATGCAATTACATTTCATGTATCATCCCTTAAAACTATTCCCAATTCCTATCCGTCAGTTTATCTACAACTGATTTTATTTGACCAGTCAGCCTCATCTCAACACCAAAAGGTCGAGTATGGTGTTACGACTAGTTTAATCACCGACGACTGTTTCCAGTCATTCCTACGTAGTGGGTTATGACGTATTGTTTGAAAGATTACTAACACGTGAATCGTTCAGTTTATAAAATGAAACGTGTGCACCCAAGTGGCGCAAGTAAAATAAAAATGGATAAGAAATATTTCAAAATAAAAACGAATTAAATTCAAATTGTTTGAACTTATGGTTAGCAGGTTAGCTGGTTTCAGTTCCGATTCTGCTAACAATGAGAAGTCGCAAACAGGCAGGCGGAAATCATCAGAAGTTTTTTGTAAGCCTTACAACGTTTAAATTAAAATACTTTTGATTATATCTGTTTGTCTTTGTTGCTGAAGTACAACTATGGAGTAAAGTGTGTGATAAACAGTAAATGTGGTCCATTCATAGATGTATTCAAAATTCAAAAGTGGTACGTGATATGCTTTTTTACCATGTATGGCAAAAACTCCAAGAACTAGGTTTTGGTCTTATTTTTAAATTGAAGACTTAAAACAATTTTAAGAATAGGCCTTTAAATTTTATGGCAGCTGTAGAGGTGAATAGAAATACGAGCAAATTGTATATCAAATTTAAATTGATTGATACCAAATACAAAGATTTTAATTTATGGAAATTTAGCAATTATTAATTTAATCAAAATTATCAAAAACTTTTAATCATTTAAAACCACATTAGGCCCCTTTTATGAACCTGCGGCATGCAGCAAACATATATGCTAACTAATTGTTGCCGTGAGAGCACCCCATGGTCCTTGTTTTATTTCAGGCTGGGGGCCTCAAATCAACATCTAGCCGAGGGCCTCCAATGGAGCCAGACCGGGCCTGCATTTAATTTAATCTTAAATTATACGGTGGGGCACACGGAAGATTTCTCAGGTGCCATTTGACGTCACTAACTGCTGCGTATGAAGAAACAGACAAAATTTTTTTTAATTTTCCTGTTATTAAATTAAACTGTCATAACCTAACCAAACTAACCAAACGTGCTGATAATGGAAAAATCTAATGAAGGTTTACTAATCTAAAAAATAGTTTTGTTCATAAAATAAAATTATAAATGCCTAAAATTAATTTTTTTAATTTTTTAATTATAAAATTAAACTGTCATAACCTAACCAAACCAACCAAACTTGCTGATATGAAAAAAAATTGTTGACAAAAAGTTAGTACTACCAGTGGGATTCGAACCTGGTACATTCCGATTATCAGCCCGACACGCTATCCACTACACCACCAAGGCCGATGGCTTAAAACCGTATCGTTGCGGTAATGGTGTTCTCTCAAAGTGACGTCGGCAGTTAGTGACGTAAACGGCACCTGAGAAATCTTCCGTGTGCCGTTTTGTTAAACTATATCGGTAACTAGGCCTATGCAGAGGCTGGGTTGATACAGCATCGGTTATAGAATGGTTTTTTTTTTTATTTTCATAATCAATAACATAGTTTTAGATAAAAAAATCTATGACAAAGTTTTAGATTAAATAAACCTACCACATAGATGTGTAAAATATCTATATATTAATTACGTAAGCCGATTCTTTGCGTCAAAATTGTGGGCGACTGGGAAGTCGTAGAATGACGGGAGAGGGCTCAAATTAAAGGTCTCAATCCGCGGGAAAAATAGTGCAATTCCCAAAATTTTAACACAAAATTAGATATAACGTAAAATGTTCTCCATAAGAATAGCACCAGAAGCCATTTACTGCTGATTTTTGTTTACTTCAATACAGCTGATCACGATTTAGCACTAAGTCGGTACGCAATATTAACATTTGGATGATTTAACCCTTTGAGTGCCAACGTCCGGGGAACCGGACGTTTTTAAAACGAGCCAAAAGTGCCGACATCCGGCCGACCGGACGTTTTTAGAACGAGCCAAAAGTGCCAACGTCCGGCTGACCGGACGTTTCGTAATGATCGAACAGTTGTCATAACAACCGAATGGATACTCGGATTCTTTTAACCCATATATTAACATTGAGTCGAAAGTTACTAGATGCGATACATCGATTTTCGTTGGTCAAAATATCAAAAATTCGGTTTTTACGAAATTTTAACCTAAAAATCGCCAGATCGCGCTCGGCATTTTAAGCGTGACCTTCGGGAAAAATCATCGGAATTTTTTGAGCGTTACTTTTATTTCTCGCCTGGCACTCTAAGGGTTAATTGCCAGTCAATTCTGCAATGTACCACATAAAAAACGTTACCTAAAATAATTAAGACTTTTTAGTTATGTACGTTATAGAATGTTGAAATAAATTATTTTACTGTGAAACTTTTCAAATTTGTGTATTTTTTACGTTAAACATGAAATAACAACATTGACTAAATAATCAACGATTCAAGATTAAATGGGAGACTTCTGCTTTGTTTTTATTTCAAAACATATGTTCAAGATTTATTCCACACTTTCTTTGTAAATTTACTAACATTTTAAATTTGGAATTTATTGTACTGTAGTCTTAAGTCAATATTTTGTATGAAGTGGAATTTAACCTTAACAGCTACTCTTACAAAATAACCTGGGAATAAAGATGGAATAGGTTCGTACAGGAAATATATTTGTTAATTAAGTAAGTACTATGACAAGTTCCAATGGGCGGAACTTGGTATTTCTGGTACAAGGTATTTCTGAAATAATTCTGATTTTTGTTTTAGTTTGACCCATCAAACCTAATTTTTAATATTTTTACTCACAGGACACTGTATAGTAAGGACGGTGACACACTATCGATCTTTTCCCCTATCAAGACCCCAACTGAGCAGGGAGAAGGGAGGTCAAAGGGAGCAGGTTAAATAGTGTGTCAGGGATCCGTACACCGATCCAGACATCAGTCCGAGCAGGGAGATGTGCGCTCTTGAGGCGGTTTTTTGGCGAAAGATCGGTCTGGTGTACGTGGCCACCTGGGCTAGCGTTGATGGTTCTAATTTAATATGGCAATTACCTTCTTTATTTGCTAAAATAAATAAATTTTGGGTCATATTTTGTCATCAAATCTATTATGGGCCTGTAATTTTGTGGTTTGTTTTTTGTCAAGGTTGAAAATTTATTGTACAAGTTGAAACCGTTTAATCAATGATATCAATAATGTTAAACATAAACATGAATAAAGTAAATCGATATAATACCATAGACTAACCAACACAAGTAGACTTCTCATCCCATTGCAAATTTTGAAGCACGTTTTTCGTGTCTAGTTCATGTAAGTGACACAAAGGCGCTAGTGTCGATGAAACTTTGTTTCCGTTATTTTAGGGTTAATTTCTTGATTTGTGCTTTACTGTTTGGTTATATAACTAGGGGACAAGTTATTGTTTATGATTAGATCGTATTATTTGGTTAAACGAGATTTTAAATGGCTGTAATAACGGGAAACAAATTGTAAACAAAACACGACCTCTACATAAACCGTACATGAACTAACAATAAAATTGTCTTCAGCTGTTCCATAAGGATGAGAAATCTACCAAGGGAGTATGTTTTATCTATGATAATACTTATACCTAAATTCTTCCAAAATTAATATAGGCTAAACAATATTATCAAAAGGCATTTAAAATTATCAATCTGTAACATGTTATTTTAATGAACCGTGCTCGGTAGAATTCGTCTGTTCTTGGTCTTGATCGGGGAAATGTTTGGATTGAAATTTTTCTGGATTTACCTCCCTTCTCCCGGTGTGGTTTGGGGTCTTGGTGGGGGAAAAGATCGATAATGTGCCACTGCCTTAAGAGTGATGAGTGCATATCAATTTTGTAGTGTGCTACTATTTGAAAATCCTGTAGGCCTAAGATAGTTTTAAAACTAAACCTCTTAGGCCTTTAGTTTTTGTATTCTATGTATACTATATACTGTACTCGATTTGCGGGGGAACGCGGCAGAACGGAGTTCCAGTACCTCTCTTTCAGAAAGATAAAAATATTGGCATAAATTAGTACGAATCACATAAAATAGGTTACAGTTCTAGCACCTCATTTTTTACAAATTGAGCACTGGGTTATACATAAATGTATTTCATGGTTTCAGTTGCCTCATTCAACACATAAAAGCATCAGTCCACCCAATAGCTCTAGGTTGTATATATAACAAAATTATGAAGAATTTCATAAAGTGTTACCTATAATGTGCCTGTTTGATATGTGTGTTGTTTAAAATACAATTTTAAAATTAACAGCTGTTTCATTAAAGAGTATTATCCACATGGCTAAAATTTAAACAAATCTGTGGAGGGATCTTTAAAGGCTTCAGGGCCAGAGCCCTAAGCGAATTTACATAGTTTTTCTTTTGATAACTCATCTACAGCCCAAGACCTTTCTTTGGACACCTCTACCAAGTTTCTACGCCCAGCCGTTCCCTCAAATTAGTGGAGACAAAGTTTCCAATTAATTATTTAGATTCCCCCATGTTAATCCTATGGGAGAAAACCCAACTTTGATGGAAGATCCTGCCCAAACTAATAAAGATATCAAAAAACAAAAAAACACTTTGCAAAACTACAGACCAAGGCAATTTTTTTTACACTTTAATAATTAAAATCGGTCCAAAAAAGAGGGAGGAGTTCTGTTTACAAAAATCTGCTTAGCGTATTATATATATAGAATAGATAGCAAATAAAAACAACAACACCATCAGTGGCTCACAGAGCTGGGCCCCGTGCTACGCCAATCTTGGTACTTCAACTGATTATTAGGGGTTTGGCGGTGGAGGTGAGAGATCAAAATAATGTTCAATCGGTTCCTTGAAAGATGCACGTGAGGTACTGTAACTCCTAAGATGCCACCTAGTGATATCACATGTTTTTCTATACAAAACAATCCGCCCAGAGAAAAACTCCATGGTGTCACTGATGGAGGGTTAGATAAAAAATGATGGTTGTAATTATAAACTTTTGCTACTGGCCAAGGTGTTACTCTCTTCTTTATTCCTATGGGATTAATTTTAGTTTAGATTAGTTTTAGTTTTGAATAATATGAAAATATCACAAAAACAATTCAATATTTAAATCAGTAACCATTTTTATAGCAACATTGAGTATACACGTACTAGAGTAGCCACTCAATGGAGGTTATTGTTACCTGAACAGCGCTGATCCAGAGTAGTGTCAGCGGCCCGAACTAATCCACCTCGGGCTTGTCGGCAAGGCAGTTTGGTTGTTTTTATTATTGTTTTCATTGTAGGTTTCAGAATGTCGTTTTTGTTGATGAAGTTCGTTTGTTTGTTTCTATTTTCGTTGTTTTATAATAAATTTTTAATACTAAATGGTTAAAAGGTCCTCAGAGGCGCACTGCACTACTGACAGACTACCGTGACCCAAGCATCAACGGCCCATACTACGTAGCCAAAATCGGCAACAACTAATAGCATTATGTGACAACAGTGCACAATAAGCTGTTCCTGCTGCGCTGCAACCCCATGGTTATTGTAAGCCTGGCCCTCTATAAAAAAAATTATGTGACAACTCTTACGTGTATACTTAATGATAACAGTTACAATATCTTGATATTTTGAAATATAAAATTTCTATTGCCTTGTAATAGACACACACAGAACATAATTACTTGATAAAAGATTAAGCTTTCTCGACTTCTTATGTCTACGGCTTTGTTGGCTGCTGCTGAGTTATTTGAAAGATTTGCTACACAATTATTAGGCTACTCAAATTATTTTGTAGACCCCTTAGACCCTCTTATTTTGTGTTAATGTGTTTAGAGTGCTGATGTGGGTGAAACATTTCTAGAAAAAATCTTTGAAATCCCATTTTTTGTATCAAAAGTTATAATTTGTATTTTTTTTTTCAGAGCTACTTGAGGCCCTCACTCCTCCCAAAAGGTGGACGTTCTTCACGAAGAGTTCTCTAAGATATTGTACCCTGTAGTCCAGTGGCATGACTAGGTTCCTCCCTCAGAGATTTTTAAAATTTAATGTAATAGATAACTGTTCATACTGGCAGAAAAATTGACCAATTATTAAGTAAACCCTCTTAACCTGTCAATCAGTATCAAGATTCGATGTAGTTGGTGCAGGTAATATTAGAAATTTATTGATGCGTTGGTCAGTTATGTGAAATAAGTTTAGTGATTCTGTTGGACAAAAAATTCTATTTTGTATTTTGAACCATCTTGCTTTAATAGTTTGCGAGTTATGACTACCAGATCCACCGAAGCAGCAATTTCTTTCTCTTCACCCCGGCTCCACAGGTTAAATTCAAATTCATTAAAATCTGATGCCAACAAGTTTTGGTCTAGAGGTCAAGTTTGGGTGAAGGCCTCAACAGACAGTTTTTGGGAAGATGATCTGGAAGAAAAAATTAAAAAGAAAGTGTTATTGTGTAAAAGTATTTTCCATACAGGCCGGTCTCTCGAGATGAAGAATCTTTCACAGAACGTCACCGAACCGGAGATTAGAGAGCTCCTCAATGACTTTCCGGTGACCAAGATCACAGTGACGTCTGGGGCAGATTCGTCTATTGCCAGGGCCGAGTTGGAGAACCCAGAGATGCTGGAAGAGTGGGACCGTGACAGGACTTTCCTTTTGTATGGACAATGTGTACCTGTGTGTCCTGCAGCGACAAAGATAATGTTGTGTGTGGCAAACCTACCTCTGAACTATACAGAAAAAGAGTTCAACACTCTAGTCAAATACTGTGGGGAAGTCAAACGCAGCTTCCTTATGATTAGTGAAAAGACTGGAGAAAGTAAAGGTTACGGGTTTGTCGAGTACAAAAGTAAAGAAATTTCAGTACTAGCAAAGAACATCCTCGGCAGCCAACAGATCAACAACCATACACTTGTCTGTGATTGGCTGGATTCAAGCCACGTTACATTTGAATCACTCCATTCCAAGTGCCTGTATGTAGATGGTCTTCCAATAAACTACTGTGACATGAGTGAGTTTCGTAAGATATTTTCATCAATTGTCAACCCTCTATTTTGCCAAATTGCCTTGAAACACGGGTGTCCACAGGATTGGGGACTTGTAGAGTACAACAACTGGGAAGATGCAGAGGCTGTGCAGACTTCCCTCGACGGATACAATCTGCATGGTAAGAACATCAAAATCAGTTATTACATTCCTGGGATACGGGCTTTCAACCTCTATCAGCAGCTGCTCAATGATGTTGACCCTAAGGATAGATCTACTGGGCTACTTCCTGAGCCAAATGACCAAACTGTTGCGCAAAATCTTCATAACCTTTTTAAACAGAACCCTATTTTTGCACTAAACCTGCAAAGTGTAATCGCCACCAGTCAAAAACAAGCGACAAATTTTGGAGAACAGCCTCCAGACCCTGAAAGAGCATCTCTCTTAGTTACTATGCCGGATCTAGTCAAAAAACAGATTAATTTTCTATCAGGAACAGACCTTTATATGTCTCCCACCATCCAACAACCGCCATCACCAGTGACTAGCCCACCGTTGTTCCTCAAGCCTACCCCTTTTACACCTACTAAGATACCATTGGTGCCAAATCTGTCGTCAATGGCTTCCCAGCCCTCGCAATGGTTGAGACATAGCCCCCCTGCTGGAGAAGTTGCTCCGGCTTTGACTGTAGAAGGGGAACCCTCTCCCAGCTATTGGGCGGATCTACGAGGACAGCTAACAGGAGGTACTCCTACACCCGTTTCCTTCCCCGTACCTCCTCCCAAACCACCGAGTCACCCCTACAACATGCCTCCTCCCAATTTTATTCGAGATCACGCTCCGAATATGCACGTAGAGTCTCACCAGAATCTCATACGTCTCCCCAGCAATCAACAGAGCCAACAACAGTTCCTAACCAACTTACATTCCCAGGGTCAACCCGCCTCGGACATACCCTCCTTCACGTATCCTGTCATCAACCCGATGGGTTCGTCCTTGCCAGTAGCCCCGCCTCTACCTCGCTCTCCACTCACAGATTCTCCTGAACCTGTCAACTTGACACCTTTGTTGTTCTCCACAAGCACTCCTACGTACTTTTCCACCTTCCCACAACCTGTGTTCAATCCCTTCGCATCGCCGGACATCATTAGGTCGCAGGCCTCACCCACGGTTTCTCCCCAGCCCAACCCCATCATAACTCCTTTTGGTCAGAAGAGGAGGTTGTTACCCTCTCGCGAGCCTAGTCCAGAAAGCAACTACGTTGGTCAACATTCTCAGGGGCTCGGCGGACATTACGAAGGTTCCTATTTCAAGAGAAAGAAAAAGAACTGAGTTATATCACTTGTAGAAAAGATGCTGTTATTTAATTGTAATAACACTTTTTTGTACTTTTAATTACAGTCTAGTGCTTTGCTGCTAATAAGATTCAGACAACTGGTTAAAGTCTTAATTTCGAGTTATTGTTATTAATTTTACAAATAATGGAGTTTTGCTTAAGTTTATTTATTATTGTTATTTGTTATTGTAACCAGACCCGAATCGACAGCTGCTCGGAGTGCTTTCCTCAATTGTGATCATTATGACTCGTGTAATAGGAATTTGTTGTTATTATTTTTTGTACGAATTGACTTTTGTTTAAGTTTATTTATTATTGTTATTTGTTATTGTAACCACAGCCCTATTGACTGCTGTTCCTATAAACTGCCTCTGCCTATAAAAAAAAAATGTCAGTTCTGCCTAGAATTTCAAAACTGTTTGCCTTAATTGTCTTTTATTAGGAATCTAGAGACTTGCGCTCCTATTCTAATCGCAATAATGAAATGGAATCATGACTATGCTCCGGTCCAGTTTTGCTATGCACCACTTTGGACAAAAACAGGGAAGACTCGCTGACATTTTCTTGCATATTTTAGAGTGTTATTGTTAACAATTAACTATGTAAATAATATTTTGATTCAACTGATACACAATATTTTTTTCTAAAAAAGTATTTCTATTTCCAACACCAAACTGTGTCTAGTACTGTAGTGAAGAAGGGGCTAATTGTTTCTCTGTAGCACAGTTAGTTGGTAACACGAGTATGTTTTATCTATGGTAACACTTTGCAACTTTCATTTCTACTTGATCAATATTTTTTCAATGAATAACTAAGCATTTATTGAAATTATTCAGCTGTGTTTCTGGTTTATCTATTAAGCTAAAATCATTAATAAATCAATTTATACAGTAGGCTACCGGTACTTTACATGTTTTCATAATTGTCCATTTTAACTGGCCTGTTAGTTGACCTGACCTATGCTTGGTTTTGTAATGGTCAGTTAAGAGAGGTTCTGTAACTTTGTTTTTAATATAGTTATAATAGTGTATAAAAATATGCCAAGGTTTCAGAAATGTCAAATAGACTTAAGTATATGTTTATTTATCAGGCAAAGCTCAGCACCATTTCCTAGAGATAAATGTACAATCCTACATAAACAATTATATAGGGATAGTGAATTAAAAGATCATCATTTTTCATTCACACTCAAAGAAAGATAAGCTACAAGATATGGCTTACATAACATTCAAATCTATGTGTATGTACAGATATAAGAAGACATATCTGTGCAGGTGGTTGACATAGTTTAGCTACAATAAAGAAGGGACAAAAGTCAATAACTTAAACGATTAAAATACAATGCTACAAAAAAAAAACTGCTATGAACACTTTGATATGGATCCAAAGGTTTAAAAAATAGATAAAATAGATTTTGAGACATAGACTGTGGTAAGATGACATCCGTATATAATTTTGTCAGTGATGATGTTTCTTTCACAAATTGTATCCATAACATATTTAAAGAAAGCAAAAACAATTAACAACTAAATTACAATAATAATAATATAACTTGATTACAGTAAGTGGGTAATTATAATTTAATCCACATAGGCCTATTGTGCAAAGTATCCAAATAGTCATTTAAATAGTAAAAGCATTATCAAGCCCATTTATGAATTTGCAGGCGCAAATATTTTGGTTTGGTAATTAATAAACCTTCATTTTCATACATCTACACTCTAATCGTTGATAACTTACTACATAATGTAGTGTAAACATATATTTACAATTTGAATATAATATTGTATTAATTATTCAATATTTGCAGTTATGTAATATGATAGGTTGTCAATATATTTATACTGGATGTAAGTAAGTAAACTGGTGTTTCCTTTTGTAGTCTTGTTTATTGTTTATCATTTTTAGTGCGATAATTTGTGATGTTTGAAATTGGTTTTTATGATTGTTTTTTAAACAATTTTATAGCCAGTTCATGGTATTGTACAATAAATACTATTTTTTCCATACTGAAATCAATACCGGTGCTGAACTTTTTGATCTTTTTCATTTAATAAAATAATTCTAGTTATTGGTGAACTATTTATAATCCTCGTGTTATGCTTTACAATTCTACTAAGATTTTTTATGCTAATCATAGATCTGGGTTAGCTGTATGAGGGATAATTTTATGGTAAGGTATAAGTCTTAAAGATTATGCCTTTTATCATAAGATATAAACATTTAAAGGAAGAATAATTTAACTATTGTCCTTGCATAGTTATATATTATACTATGAGGTAGCTCCGTGATTTCTTGTCTTCTTATTGAAAGTTTTTGTATGCCTCGTGTATTTTTATTTTCTTATTTTGTATTGTCGCCATAGGATTTTTTTTAAATTTGTTTAAATTGAACGGTAAAAATCCTAGTCTTCTTTACTATTATAACGTTGACCTTTTGTTAGATAAGTTAGTATCATTAATTGAAAGCCCAATGAATGACAAAAATGACATCTGGGTCCAGAAACAATCTAGCTTGGTTTGGAATGGAACCAGAGGGATGTTCGAATTCAAGACAAGTACTTATAGGCCCATAATCATTCGGCTACCCAGGCAGTTAAGATTTTGTTGACAAACCAAAACTTCTAAAGTGTTTTTGTTTATCCAATCGCTCTCTGCAGTCAGGAACATAGGAGGTATTGCAGCAAGGAAGGTAAACGACAAATCACAAAAACATCACCTGTTCTTTAGTTAGCGCTGATAAACTTATCATGAATAAAATACACGCTGTTTGCAAGTTAAGTGGTTGAAAACATCCTGATTCATCGTAAAGGTGTCATGAATGCTGCTAGCCTGATTTAATATGTTTAACTATAACTTTATTTTTGTAGTATGGTGACTAAATAGGTTACGTGTCGATTTAATGTGTCTACAAATGAATAATTACTATAAAAGTGTTCCTTAAAATCAGGAGTAGTTATATGTTTACATGTAGGCCTAGCAATAATTAGTTTTTGCAAACAGAGTTGTTTGCAGTAAAAATTTCCTGCGTCTGCGTGTTCCTGTGGGAAAACTTAGGGAGTCATTATTACTTAGATAAAATTAATGGTTGATTGGCAGGATTTAAACCCAGGACCGAAGTCCCGCACTCGTCCAGCTCGCTCCCCAAAGCAATGCAGTATTGGCAGGGCTGAGTTTAGGGTGTATAGCGTCCCCTTCCCATATCGGGGGCTCTCCTTTGAAATTAAAGTTTTTTAGTACCTACAATTTCTAACGCTATTTAATCTGGAGCCTATAATCTTCTTGAAATTGTATGTTTTTTTTAGAGGGGGAAAAATCAATGTCAAAACAATGATTTTTGGAAATTCTACGCTCTGGGTTATTGTCCATTTAGTTCATATCATATACAAAGCCTGAGTATTAACATTAGATCCAAAATAGGGTCTAATAATATTCCTATAATTATGGAAATTGATGCACTTTTTTGTGAAAACCTTTTTGCTGTGAAAGAATAGAGATAGGCCTACCTATAACTACTTTTATCCTCACATGGTTTAGAATAATCACCTAACTTAAACTTACCATCACTAACAGGCCAAAAGCTTAAAAATTCTGTATTTGGTGACTTTGAGGAATCTTGGGCAGTTCCAGTTGTATAATAATGTAGGCCCTAAATATAAATTTTTGATATGAAGCAACAAATTTTCAACACTTTCCTCAGAAAAAAGAACTTACTGTTTGGCAGTACTATTGGGCTTAAGAGTCCTTGGAGCCTAGACGTTTGAATTCATCATAAAACAATTTTAAAAACTCTACAAAGACAAATTTCTTCTCTCACCCAGTACTAGTTATTAAAATTACAATCACTCTGGATTTTGAAAAAATATTTTGTGATGGTAAATAACTCTTCAGTGGCTGTTTGAAATTAACTAAATGAACTGCTCTTATGGCGTGCAAAAATCCAAGATGGCCCTTAGCTTCCGTAGACTCCCTTGGATAAGAATTCAAAACTACAAAGATAATTTAAATAATCAGCATCGGACTTTTATTACCTGAAAGTACGAAAAATACGTCAAATATCACTTGTAATAGAGGCCCGTGAAGTTAGCGTACCGGTATCCACTTTTGTTCAAACCAATCGTTAGATCCCCAATATTGTTGTTAGTTCTAAAAAAAATTATAACCTATAAGAAACTGGTACGCTAATTTCACACTTCCGGTTTCTAGCGCGCAGCGTTTTCAAATGGAAAATACTTCATCTATATACCAAACATTAGTTCTCGATAGTTCTCCAATATTGTTGCTAGTGCTCCAAAAATAAAAAAAAGTTACAAGGCATAAAAAGTGGTTACGCTAACTTCACAATTATAGAATTTCCAGTAGGCACGGTTTGCTGACGAAAGATGCTTATATATATATACCAATCGTTAGTTCTTGATAGTTCTTGAACTAATTATTTATTACTAGATTACAAAATTCCCTTCCCTAGGGGTTTAGTTAGACTTTAGTCAATGTTTATTAAAATAATTACCGTTATTACTTTTGATATGAGTTTATTTATTGTTATTAATTAATAGTTTATTCATTTACTGTTTTTACATAATATATATATATATATATATATAGATTTTATAAATAAATACCTACCCACCCAATTTCCGACCTTAGCTTACACAGCTACATATTATATTTTATCTTATTTATTGCATTTTTTGTATTGATTGATGTTTGCTATACAATGTATAATAATTGTCAAAAAGCAATAAAGACATTATTATTATTTTTATAGATATTAGCATTTACATCAGAAAACTGTGCATGCTGAAATTTTTTTGTGTATGTATATGGATATATATACGTCCCCGTTCCGTAAACGTGATAACTTGAGTATAATGTTTGTCCGATTTTTATGAAATTTGGTTTAAAAGTGTAGGGTGGGATAAACTCTAAATGAGTTCGCGAACCTAATGATCGGACCATGGGAACGGGGTTTTACGGAGTAAAAAATGGGTTTTGCTCATTTTTTTTACCCTCAAAACACAAAATTTCCCAATTTCTCTCTAGACCATTTTAAAGAGCTTAAACAAAAAAATAATTTTGTACACCGGAGTGTTTTGTATTGTTATTGGTTATGGTGAAGATTAAAAAAATAGCAAATTTAAAATTCCCATGTTATTCTTATAATAAATATCGTAAAATGTTGTACCGTAGTTTGTTTGTTTATGGAAATATTTTGATCAAACTTGGCAAATTTATTTATTTTGTATTAAGCTACTTTTATTTTACGAAAAAACACACTTTATTGCCCTCCCTGTAGCAGCAAACGGGCTTGTTAAACCATGTACTTGTTAAACCTAATGTTATTTAAATAGATTTAATTTCAAATCAATTCAGGTAAATGGAAATTTGCTTGGTCTGCAGGTTTCCTGCGGCAGGGGTATTTTTAATTTTTCAGATCTAACAACAATATCGGAGAACTTATTTGAGAACTAACGACCGGTATATACTAACCATAGGTTTTTAAATTAGATTGCAGTATACAGGCTATATGAGAATCTTTGGTCAAAAAAAAATTTTAAAGCTAAAATTTAAAATTAAAAAAAAATAATTAATTTTAATTAGGTTAAAAATGTTTAAGTGTTATAAGGCGTTTCTTTTATTTACTTTCCGGAAACCGGAAGAGTGAAGTTGGTGTACCCATTTATTGTAGAACTAACGAATAGATTGGGGATCTATCGAGAACTAGCGATTTGGTATAAACAAAAGTGGATACGCTTATATGGGTACGCTAACTTCATGGACCTTTGTAATAGTATATTTACACTCTAACCGCTTACTCACAAGATGGTTGTTAAATACATGTAAAAAATGGTAAGTGGTGATCGATTTCAATTGGACACTCCGATCATCATCAGACCCAATAATAGGTGAATGTTCAATATATGTAGCCTAAGCATATTTTTATTTATTGTTTATTTATTTATTATCATCACGTTACATTAATGATTGACAGGTGATTTGTCATCAAACTAAAATTTATTGTAACACTAGCTGTACCCGCGGGCTTTGCCCCGTTTTACTTCATAAGTGAGCTCGTTCGCATGGCTCAATCATGTCCTGGTTGAAGTTCGTTCGCTACGCTCACTCACCTTTTGGTTGCAAATTAGCTGTTGTCATAAATTTAAAATACCCCCGCCGCAGCAAACCTGCAGACTAAGCGAATTTTCATTTGACTGATTGGATTTACACTGAAATGGCTACTTAAAAATATAACATTTATTCCCTATTTAAATAGAATTAGTTTAACAAGTACTTAGGTTTGCTGCATCTTGGAGGGTAAAACTGTTTTCTTTTTGTAAAATTTTAATATTTTGTAAGAAATAAAAACATTTTCCAAATTTGATCAAAATATGTTAATAAACAAGCAAACTACAACAATTTACTTATTCTCCACAAGAATAACATTGGAATTTTAAATTTAATTTTTTTTGAATTTTCCCCGTAACCATTAGGCGCATAGTAACGCTTCAATATACTAAATTATTTGTTTTTTAAGCTCTACAAAATGGTTTGGAAAGAAATTGCCAAATTTTATGTTTTTTGGGTCAAAAATGGGAAAACCTATTTTTACCCCATAAAACCCCCCGTAAACCCCCGTTCCCATGGTCCGATCATGCTGGATCGCGAACTCGTTCGAATAAACGTAGGTTTACACGTTTGTACCAAATTTCATCAAAATCGGATCATTTTTGCTTGAGTTGTCGTGCTAACGGACACACACACACACACACACATACTGTATATATATATATATATGAATTTGAACGGATGGTGTTTTTGGCCTCTAGGGACCTCAAAACGAAAAAAAAATCGGTCCCGCGTCCAGGTCTTACCATGAGTACTACGGTAATAGCTTATTCCCTATATGGGAAATTCGCTAAAAAATAATAGTGCTGCACCCTGTTGGTAATCCTTGTAACTTTAATGCTATTGAACATCATAGAACAGAACCAACTTGTTTAATTGAAACAGCTGTTAAGATTCATTAATTCCATTTAAATATGAGTACTCATAAGTATAATAATATGGGAAA